TTATTGGGGCCTTTAAACCAAGAGAAGCTAATGTATACATTTAAGCATGCATACTTCGCATATAAGTAAGACATATTTAAAACATAATATCAAGAGAGAGAGATGGATACAGAAGGAGGAATTCAGAGAGAATGCGTTGTATATATAAGAATGAGAGAGAGGGAGAAAAAGGAGGGCTAAGACCTGTCTGGACTCAACAGAAAGACAGAGAGTGTTTTCTAACAATTATATAATTAAAAAAAATTTTTATTTATTTTTTGTGTTCTTCCTATTCCATCAATGGTCCACACTCCAGCCTAGTAGGTGGCGGGAATGCACCTATAGTTTGTTTGCCAACCGCCATAAAAACTCCAAAAGAAGAAGAAGAAGAAGGAGCACTCTGGGGCGGGCTCTGTGACGTCATCATGACGGATGCTTGTTTGCGGAAGTGATCAAAGCAAAGGACGAAGGTTGTGCAGGCATGATGGAGGTATGTAACGGTTTCTGCAGGAATCGTTCAACAAACAGTTGCATGCTGACTGAAAAGAGCACACACACTTTAAGATTTTGTCTCTGTGATGATTTTAATGCTGAATATTGGCAATCAAGCATGCAAAGGTCTTGAAATTATTTTTTATGGTCGGAGCAGGTGCGGAGGAAATTATTGAACTCGGTTGAAAAGTGTGTAGACGAGGCTTTGGAGGGTCTCGTCAGGAGTAACGGGGGTCTGGCGCTGCTGCGGGGCCACAGAGTTGTGCTGCGGTCCGATCTGGAGAGCATTAAGGGAAAGGTAGCGCTCCTTTCCGGAGGAGGTTATTTTTTATGGTCGGAGCAGGTGCGGAGGAAATTATTGAACTCGGTTGAAAAGTGTGTAGACGAGGCTTTGGAGGGTCTCGTCAGGAGTAACGGGGGTCTGGCGCTGCTGCGGGGCCACAGAGTTGTGCTGCGGTCCGATCTGGAGAGCATTAAGGGAAAGGTAGCGCTCCTTTCCGGAGGAGGATCCGGCCACGAACCCGCGCATGCAGGTAATGCGTGATACACCAGACCCTCCCTCTTCTGGCTCACTTCACTGGCTCTCTGGCCCTGTCCCAAATGTACCTTAAACCCTTGCAAGTGCACGCGAAGTGTCCATTTGGGACAGGGCTACTCTCTTTCTCGCTGGCACAGACACGCACACATGCTTATTTTTTCTACTTGATTGAGCTCTTAAACATACATTGACTGGTGTAACCTAATATAGTCCTGTGGAATCAGTCATTATAAATAATATTTTAAAAAATAATAAAGGTCACCTGACAAAACATTGTATATTAGAGTTGAGGCATGTGCACACCAAGAGTGAATATGATATATTTCTAAGTGGACATTTCCACACTGAGGAAGAAAGTATATTTTACTTTTTATTTTTCTAGAGAATGTCTTTTTTCTGTATTTTTCATCAATTAAAATGTCCGACCGATAAGGCATGATCCAGCAATAGTTTTAAATTAAATATGATTTTTATAGGGAGTTTTGACAGAATCACTGTTCTACGGCTGATCGACTGAATCGGCCAGTGGTCAGTTGAACGGGCCGTATAACATCAACAATGCAACGGATATTAAGTAAGGGTGCTCCGATCAGGATTTTTGGATCACAGGAAGCAGTATCTGCCGATACGATCACCGATACCGATCTTTTTGAAGCCTTCTTTTTATCATGTAGAATTATTTATAGTGATTCTCCAATCAGGATTTTTGCAGACATTCATTCAGGGCCTGAATTTCATTTTTGAAAATGGGGGGAATTCCCCTCTTAGGTGACTCTTGTGGGGGGTATTTTTTAATCTGAGGGGTGGAGGGGGGCTTTTTTTTACGGGTGCTCCGATCAGGGTTTTTGAGGCCGATTGCCAATCACAGAAAGCAGTATCTGCCGATACGATCACCGATACCGATCTTTTTATAGCCTTCTTTTTGTAATTTATACCTATTTATAGTGATACTCCAATCAGGATTTTTGCAGACATTCATTCAGGGCCTGAATTTCATTTTTGAAAATGGGGGGAATTCCCCTCTTAGGTGACTCTTGTGGGGGGTATTTTTTAATCTGAGGGGTGGAGGGGGGCTTTTTTTTACGGGTGCTCCGATCAGGGTTTTTGAGGCCGATTGCCAATCACAGAAAGCAGTATCTGCCGATACGATCACCGATACCGATCTTTTTATAGCCTTCTTTTTGTAATTTATACCTATTTATAGTGATACTCCAATCAGGATTTTTAGACATTTATTCATGGCCTGAATTTCGTTTTTGAAAATGAGGGGAATTCCCCTCTGAGGTGACTCTTGTGAAAGGGTAAGCAGCACGGACTGTGCTTTTACACAGGAGTCCGCTACTGATCCGTGGCTGTTTACCACAATCCATTATTATCCATTATTTTGATTTCAAATCCAAACATTGCCACTGAAAATGCTTTTTCAGCATTGCAATTTTTTTTACACAGTACAGTAATACAATATTTCACAGACATGTTTAAACACAATAAATATAAGCAACCCATTATTCTATGCTTTTTACTTTTGCATTCATTTAGATTCAGGGGCGTGTCTACGTGGTGGACAGGGGTGGCACCGGCCCCCCCTGAAATTTGGCTGGCCACCCCAGGTGCCCCCCCTACCAGATGTCTTGCGATAGGCTTGTTTTTAGTAAATTTCTAACTGCATCTGGCAGTGGCGGATCCTGGCAATGTGTAGGCAGCTGCCTAGGGCCGCTTTCTTCTCTTCTTTATACTTAATTTTAGGCGGTTTCTATAGTGTGATCTTAATGACAATGTTGAGAGCGCATAATGTTACGCGATCCATGTGCGCGAGGACGAATCTCTCCACTCCCAAGTGGATTTCCTTCACTCACACAAAACTGGACGTGTGCTTTTAAATATTGTTCTTTTATGAATTGGCTCTGCTCTGTCACTGTCTCTGTCACTCTTTGTTTAGTGAGTGTACACGATGTATTATAACACATTAACTTTAATAATATATCTTTATGGTGTAATTACTACATTTTCGTGTCGATCTATGTTCATATTTACTGCAAAACAATGCTCTGTTACTTTAATTCTTTGCTTGCAGTGCAGCAATAGACTCAGTGCGGAAATGATCTCTGCACTGCTGCAGACGCACCACTAATGGAACGCACTGCCTGTCCGCAACCGTGTGCAGTGAACACTTTAATTCGTTAACATCAGCGCGAAAAAAATACGCACCACGTAGGCAAACGGAGTAGTGAACCTGGCGTTATTTGTGTGCATGAGCGCACGGTCTCCAGGAGTGCGCGCGAGCGCTGAATGATTAAACACTGGCAAGAATTTAAAAGTAATGCAATTTATAAACTCTAATTTCAACCTACACTTCCATTACATAGGCCTATACATATCAAACGGAACTTCCGAATGGTATTGTAGCTTACTACTGTTTAAACCTTCCTTAAAACAGGAACCTGTTAAATCAGATAAACAAAATATCTGATTATCATTTGTCCCATTATCCATTTTTTTTAAATGTGAATACTGGCCAATACTGAAACATTCCCTGATATATATAGGCCTAGAGCATTCTTTCTAAAAAGCCATGTCTATTTCTGTTATCAACCCCAATGCAAAAAGGAAAACATGAGGACGACATTACAAAAAGCCTTGTACAAATAGATCCCATCGTTAGTTTACGGTTATCGAAAAACAATTTTATTCCAGAAGTAAAAGGCAATTAGTAAAAAGGCAATTATATTCCACTTTGGCTACATATGTACAGCTGTAGTATTTCAATAGACCTTGATGATGCGAGCCAATGTAAAAATAGTGGGGTTCATTTTTCAGTTACAGTGCAGGGCTGCACTGTCGCAGGGGGAGATCATTTGGAAATCATTAGAAGCCATGTTTGAGTGCATCAGTATGATTTAGAAACTTCTGGAGGGTCTAGGAGACAAAGACACTTCACAAAGAGAATGAATGCTATCATGTGCAAGCCTAAGAATTAAGACCCCCATCCCCCAAACTCCTGTCTGTCTTCCTGTATGAAAATGACCCCGATTACACAGATAAAAGCACACCTACCACAGCTAAAATGCAAACATACACCCCTCCAGCTTAATACAATGGCTTTATTCCAACATCTAGGAGATGCCTTGCTCTCTACAGTCAATCTTCTAGGGATCCTAACTGAAATAAGTAGATTTGCATAACTCTGCATCTTTCTGCATCTTCCCACAGAATTGAAACGTCACTCTCAATGGGCACTGACAAAGTCCTACAAACTTCAAGCCGCATACATTTGTTTATCAAATATTTTAGCTAAATTTATGCATCACAAAATTATGCTACTCATCTGAATTCCACCAGAAACTGGCGTAAGCCAACAATACTTGACTCTAAGCATTAAATAAATACCACAAACATTTTGGATTATATTCCACTTTGACTTCCCATACCTTTCAATATTAAATTAATTATACATATAATCAATGTGCTAAAAGAATGCATCTTAATAGTAGGGCTGGACGATATGGCCAAAATTGATATCACGATATATTTCTTCATTTCGGTCGATACGATATAATTCCGATATCGATATGAACACTATTTATCTGAAATAGAAGTCTTTTGTAACATTATAAATGCCTTCATCATCACTTTTGATCAATTTTAAGCATCCTTGCTAAATAAAAGTATTAATTTCTATCATTTCTTTCCCAAAAAAATAATAAAAATTATACTGAATGGAATAGTGTATAATGTTACAAAAGCTTTTGATTTCAGATAAATGCTGATCTTTAGTTCTTTCTATTCAACAAAGAATCCTGAAAAAAAAATTTACTCAACTGTTTGAAATATTGATAATCAGCAAATCAGCATATTAGAATGATTTCTGAAGGATCATGTGACACTGACGACTGGAGTAATGATGCTGAAAATTTAGCTATGTATGATCACAGGAATAAATTACATTTTAAAATCTATTCAAATAGAAAGCAATTTTAAATAGTAAAAATGTTTATTCATGTTTATTCAACGAAGTCAAACGCCACAAATAAATCAATGTATGGGAAACTGGTAATGTATATCGGAAATGTGTTTAAAAATCATATCACTGTTATTGAAAAAAATTATATCGCGATACATATTGATATTGAATTATTGTCCAGCCCTAGATTTGAGAGAGCGAGAGAGAGAGTGAGCGCGCGCGCTTGGTGATTCACTCACATTGTTTGTGAAATTACGTCTCACACAAGGTTTTCAAATTACTTTATAAGTTATTTAATGAAGAAATATGAAGGTGAGTACCTCACCTTCAGCATTATAATTATTTCACCCGCGCCGGACCGAGACTGAGACGGTGCCGCTGCATGTCGTGCCAAACCTCTCACTGCAGGGTCATCAGCTTGAGATCGTTTCTTTGAGATCGGTCTTTTTAGAGACCGCCGATCAAACATCCCAATGTGATTATCGGCCGATAGTGATCGGTAGCCGATCAATTGGAGCACCCCTAGAAGTCTAGTAGTCATTCGGAACGACGTCTGGGGAGCCAATTGTTGAGCATTGGCTGAAGAATGGTGCGTAGTTGTGGGCTGGTTGAAGTTTTGTCGGCAGGCACAGACAAAGTCTGAGACATGGCTTTGTGGCAAAACTTAACTCGGAACACAAAACTCTCAATGGAAAAGAAAGAAAAGAGTGTGATGAGACTAGATGGCTTAGATGGCTTATTTCCTCATGATGGTAGAGGAGCAGCTGGCATTCAAGCCAGAGCATGCTGGGAAAGCGCTCGAAGAACTTGAAGGGAAAAAGCCATGGCAAAAAAACAAAATTTGATTGTGTCCTGAGTTTTTAAACTCAGCTGTTGGACATATCCCAAATGGTGTCTTGACCAATTAGACATTGTCTTAGCTCGGGGTGTTACTACATTTCTCCTCCTCCTCCAAATACATAAATAAACATTGTTATCTTATTAGTCACATGATCCGAATTTTCCCGCTCTTGCAGAGTATAATTTAGACAATGGTCTCTATAACAAGAATCTGATACATTTTACAAAGAATTGATTGATAGAAACGTTTCAAGTAGGACTTTTTTTTTTACACGCATGCATACCAAACTCGAATATAAACCTATAAAATATTCAGTAGTTATTTAAAAGGACATACACAATGAGTGATTATAGCGTGATAGGAAAATGTGTGGGTTACATACATGATATGGAGTTATGCAATGGAATGAAATTTAATTTACAAGTCCTTTTAGCATCATTTTGGTGCATTTATATATGTAAAAGACTGTCTCTGTGTCGTTCTGTGAATGTGAGGATGTCTTCTGTGAGGAGCAAAAGATCTCTGTCTCTGTCCTAAGTGGTGGAAAACCCAAGGAAGTCTTAACTCATGATTTCCCTCATAATTTTACTCATGATGGTCATGATGTGTTGTCTCTTCGCTCATTAATCTTGGGTTGCTTGCCCCAAATTCCTGAGTTGGAAATATCAATAAGTGTTCTTTGTTTTAATGCTGCAAGCTGTTCAAAGCTGCTAGTTAGTTAGACTTGCATCAGACTTGTGACGCCAGGATCCTGGAGAGATTTATGGTCAACATCTTGCAGCAAATCAGCATATTACAGTGATTTTTGAAGAATCATGTGACACTGAAGACCAAAGTAATGGCTGCTGGAAATTCAGCTTTGTCATCACTGGAATAAATTACATTATAAAATATATTAAAATAAAACACAGTCATTTTAAATTGCAATAATATTTCACAATTTCACAAATTTTTTTTTTTTACTGTATTTTTGAGCATAAATGCAACTTTGGTTAGCAAACTTACTGACCCCAAACTTTTGATTAGTAGTGTACATTTATGCATGTGACAGACACTTATTATTATGGTCTGCTATTTTAAACTATTATGATATTTGAGAAATCTCACTCTCACTCAGGTTATATTGGCGTGGGAATGCTGTCCGGAGCTGTGGCGGGAGCAGTATTTGCGTCTCCTCCTCCAGGCAGTGTGCTGGCTGCCATTCTGACTCTGTGGAAGGGGGGTGCTTCGGGAGTCCTGCTCATCGTGAAGAACTACACGGGTGACCGCCTAAACTTTGGCATAGCTGTCGAACAGGCCCGGACACAGGGCGTGCATGTGGACATGGTGATTGTGGCTGATGACTGCGCCTTCGCTCAGCCCAGCAAGGCCGGCAGGAGAGGCTTGTGTGGAACTGTGTTCATTCATAAGGTACCATAATGAGTTTGAGTGGCAACATTAATGAATTGTAATCATCAATAATGACAAATCAAGAATTGTTTATTTTAATGAGTGCTGTTTTTATTTTTAGATTGCTGGAGCTCTGGCAGAGAAAGGCTGTCCATTGGATGAAATTGTTGCACGGATGAACGAAGCAACAAAAAATATTGGTAAGAAAAACCAGCATAGTACTGTCTGGATTGTTTAGATTAAATGTTGCAGTCCTGCATTAAATTTGTTTCCGGTGTGTATGTACATCCACTGTCCTATGTGAAAAATATTTTGGTGTTTTTACAGGCACGCTGGGTGTTAGTCTGTCTCCATGCAGTGTGCCTGGATGCCTTCCATCTTTCCAGCTTCCACCAGGGGAGATGGAGCTGGGACTGGGTAAGAGAGATTAATATCTAAAGAGTAAAAATATCAAATTTTATGTAGCAGTAAGAATACTTACATATTTTTTTTTATGGTTTTTTTTTAAGTCTCTTTTGCTCACCAAGGCTGCATTTATTTGAACAAAAATACAGTGAAAACACTAATATTGTGAAATATTATTACAATTTAACATAACTGTTATCTATTTTAATACATTTTAATATTTTAAATCCTGTGATGGCAAAGCTGAATTTTCATCAGCCATTACTCTAGTCTCCAGTGTCACATGATCCTTCAGAATTCATTCTAATTTGCTGATTTGGTGCTCAAGAAACATTTATTTGAAAATAGTTGTACTCGTTAATATTTTTGTGGAAACTGTGATAAATAGAAAGTTCAAAAGAAGAGGATTTATCAGAACTGGAAATCTTTTGCAATATTTTAAGTTTGTTTACCGTCACTTTTGATCAGTAATCTATGTGACATCAGTGGTTCAGCCGCAGTTATACAAAGCTACGAGAATACTTTTTGTGCACAAAATTTAAAAAAATGACTTTATTCAACAATAGTCTCCTCCGCATCACCCTGTAGCGCCATTTTGGAGAGTATCAGCTGGACTAAACGACGTATGCTGTTCTGTGTCAGCTGCGTCACATCGGATCTGTTTCCTACGTTGTTATGATTTGATCTGAACGAGAACAGCGTATCCGTGTGACGCAGCTGACACAGAACAGCATACGCTGTTTGCGTTCAGCTGATACTCTCCAAAATGGTGCTACAGGGTGACGCGGAGGAGAAAAATTGTTGAATAGAGTTTTTTTTTTTTTTTTGCGCACAAAAAGTATTCTCGTTGCTTCGTATAATTGCATTTGAACCACTGATGTCACATGGATTATTTTACAGATCTCCTTGCTACGTTTCTGGACTTGGGAACATTTCAGTTGCGTTGCTGTCTATGCAGGGTCAGACAGCTCTCAGATTCCATCAAAAATAACTTAATTAGTTTTCCGAAGATGAACGAAGGTCTTACAGGTTTGAAACAGCATGAGGGTGAGTAATTAATGACAGAATTTTCATTTTTGGGTGAACTGATTTTTAGTTGTGTCCTCTTTTGGAAGGCCAAACAAAGTATTTTCGCTTTCGCAACGAAACACACAGCATCTTCGCAACATGACGACGGCGGTGGCAGCAGCAATAAAGTTACGCCTTTTTTAGAGACCTGCACTCTAAAAACCCGGGACCCGCGAGACCCAACACAACAGAGTGCGGCACAGGACAACTCTTGATGGGCGAGTGCGGGCGGGAAGAGACTCGTGTGTGTACGGGATGCGGGAGAATAAAATGATTCGCGGGACTCCCGTAAAATAGAAATGATCTAAACATAAAGTGTCTAAAACATAAAAATTTGTATTTATCTGTTGCACAAAAGCAAAAAGAACAACTAATAGCTATTAACATGAAAATTATTGACATGCGCAAGCTAGGCACAGTTTCTATTTATAACACGTGTTTAAAGGGTTGCGCAATGTAGCCAATCACAGACTCAGCTGTTGATTTCTGAAACGCAATGGCCAATCAGAGGTGATTAAGTTAGAATCTACTCACCGCAGTGAAAATCCTCTCATTTTAACACACGAAGTGTAGACACTGTGAAAGATTCATTGTGCATATGTTCATTGTGTTATAACAGAGCTTTATGAGATCGTGATTAACTGAGATGTCAAATTTTAGTGATAATAAAGGAAGCGCTGCTTGCATTCTGCCATGCCAAACCATGCACGCAGCAGCCCATGCTTGCTTTTCTGTTAAAAATTAACAGATGGTTTGTGAATGTTAATGCTTAGCCTAAATAACAAATATTTTATCGGGAGTGTTTATGCTGGGATGTTGTGGAGCTTAAGAGATGTTACAGAACCATTTCATGTACATTTCTTCGATGTACTAAAAAAATCAGTATAGATTACTTTAATGCGGGCGGGAGCGGGACAAAACATGAATGTCGCGGGCGGGAGTGGGACCAGATAAGATATATTTCTGCGGGAGCGGGCGGGCACGGGACAGAATCTTGCAGGAGCGGGACTGAAAAATCCGTCCCGCGCAGGTCTCTACCTTCTTTCTTTGCTTGAACATTTGGACGGTGTTATGCAAACTTCCCACACCGTGACGTAGCTATGTGGGGGC